AGGTGGAGGCGGTAACTGTAGCTCTCCGGTAGCTAGAGAATAAGATGCATACACATGTCGTAATTGTAGCAAACTCTGAAAGCATTCTGAGAAACGTGAAGACAGGGATGCTTCGAGCAGAGTGGCAAGCTTCACTGGGAAGGTCACGGGTTGTGAGCATACTTTGGATCTTTTCTCCAGGTCATGCCGGCGTGGTGGGTAATGAACAGAGAGACTGACTGGCTGGATCTGCATCATTGGGTGGTGAATTGGTGCATGATAAGGCACATGTGGTCAATACCCTTCGGGAACAAGCAACGGAATCAGTAGAGAAAGAAGATTATTATGGCCTGGAGAGAATGAGGCACCAGTGTGTAACCAGAGGGTCTGGCGGGCTCACTAAATTCAGAGGAAAGGCAAGTCGGACATATAACCAGATTGTGACCCGTACCATCAGTACTGGAACTCTGCGCTGGCTGCTAAAGATGAGGACGGAGCACGCATGGGAATGCCCTGAGTGCTGTGATGTCAATTCTTGACTCAACTCAACTCAACTGGGCACACTTTATGAAATAAACTGACTGGATGTCAACAAAAGCTGCACAAGGTAAATCCAGATTAGCTTTAGTAAACAGCACAAACAAAAATATTAACAACACATTCCACAGGATTCTGCAGTTTATTCTATTCAGCCTAGGTAAACTGTTTTCGTTCATTAGCAAGGTATAAGTTGGTATATCTTTTAATTGTCGTTCAATGAAAGCGCGTTTCTACTTAATTTGGTTACTTTTATAAAGGTTTCGGTGGTGGGGGATGGATTTTGTGAGGCTTTCAAAACATCTGAGTAAATACATTCCAAGGTAATTACTGGCAATAAGGCATACGGTTCGATACGTAGACATTTTTAATAGACAATTCAGTACAAAGTGTGCTATATGGTGTACATTCTCTTGATCCCCTTTACTTCCCAAGTTATTTGTTGGTATCCATATTAGGGAGGTCGACCAGAAAGACCTAGGTCAATCTGTGTTTAAATCTTCCCTGATACGAATTGAATGGTCAATTAATACAGTCATTAAATTAAGCCTGTTGCGAAATTCTGTCTGCACCAGAGCTTGTGATTTCACGGAAAGGAAAACAAAAGAGGGGCGGGAAAGAGGGGGAGGGGGGGGGGGGGGGTTATGTAATCACAGAACAGAAGCTCAAAGACTTGCCGCGAAAAGAAATTACTATGAGATGTGGCGCACGATTCGTGCTTCGTTTTAAGGGAAAGTGAGATGGAGGAAACAATCAAAAACCAGACTATGTTACTATCGCAGCATGCTGACAAACGACAGAGATAAGTAGTTGTGTCGAGAAAACTGTACTGAACTAGAGGTGGATGTCAGTTAGCTGGGCGATTTAGGGGGGGGGGTAGGGGTGGGGGCGCTATTCAAAGCAGTGCTGTAGTCGCAGAATAAACAGTACCAGGGTCTTTTACAAACGGCATCACCGCGACCTAAAATAACAGTTGTAAATATGCTTAACCAATCAATATACTAAGTAATTACGTACACTGTTAATATACCAGAAGACAGCTCAAAGGGTGGCTGCGTGGTCTCGGGGCATGGTGTCCGCCTCGAGTGCTAGAGGTTAAGGGTTCAATTCCCGGTGAGGGCTGGGATTTCTTTACATAGACTTGGACTTCTAGTATTTCCCCTGGTCTCTGGGTAGTGAGATCAGACGCCCGTGTGTACTGTTGCGCACGTAAACAATCCCTTGGAAGTTGGGAATTGAATGGATAGCCTAACGGCGCTGCCCGGGCAAAATGTGGGGTTAAAAATCTGTCCACAGTATTTCAGGACCCTCGTCGGTGCTACAGAGCCTGTGCACTGTGCTGAGCTTCTTCGGATTTGTGGGTTACTACCCGTGAACTATGATGTTGATCCGTTGTTCAAACTTCAAGGCAGCTAAAATACTGGGTTACTTACTATCTTGTGGCGATTTAAATTAAATTATGGGAACTGAATGGAGTTGGGGAAGAGTCAATTTAGGATTTAAAAGGAGGCAAAATAAATTATATCGATAGCGGGGACGTAGACACATCGCATAATTTAAGTGAATCCGTGATATTTAGATATAGTTCAAGACCATTATATACATATCAGTGTAAACACGACAGATCATAAGTACTGACAACCGCTGAAACATTCCATTCTACCATTCTGTGTGCGTGCAGGTGTAAATATTTTATTGGGGGAGGAGGGGGTAAAAAAAGGGGGGTATTTCAATATACATCACACAGGCGCTGAAACATCAGCCGCATTAGACAAATGTCGAACTATAAAACTTTACCCAAAATTCTTGCCGCTCATTTTGAGAAATCCCCGTAAATTTGACTGTAAAATTCTCTCCGCACTGGCAACACCATAAATCGCGTTGTTGCTGAGACCGGTGGGTGAATCATTCACATCAATTTTACTTAGACCGTTTAGTTTCAGTACGTCTTGTTTTATAAAATTGCTAGTAATACAAACTACGCTAGTTTTATTTGAATTCTTAGATGTGTGAAGTCTAAATGCTTCTACATTTAAAACATTCTGCATTTGAAATTCAAATTTAAGTTTGTTGATATCTCGCCAAATGTACGCTAAGAAAGCTAAAACATTTTTGTGAATGCATTTCGTAGGTGCTCTAAAACTGTTGATGCCACAGGATTGCATCTTCCCAATTCAGCGGATGTAAAGAAACACACTGAAGCTGGCGAGTGTTTCAAATTACTCATCAAAACTTGCTCATGGGGAAGCCATCTTGTACGGCTATGGGCAGATTTTTGTGAGGATTAGCATGTGTAAAGATTTGAAACTGCATCTTGTGCAATATATCCTTGTCATTGAGAGTTAGAAAAAGAATTCTTGCTTGCTACATACATCTAGTTTTAACATATGGATGTGAATCCTGGACAATCGGTAGGCAGTCCAAACAATTTCTTGAGGCCTCAGAGATGTGGTTTTACAGAAGAATGCTTAGAATTCCTTGGAAAGCCAAAAAGAGCAACAAAGAGGTTTAGAAAGAGGCGGGAGCCCGAAGACAACATCACAGACATCATGAGGAGTCAGTCATCATGTTTCAGCCATGTGATGAGAAGAGGGAAAATAGAACATGTTGTGACCACTGGAAAGATCTGTGGAAGGAGGGATAGAGGAAGACAACCAGAGAAGATGCTTGACAGTTATGTTGCATGGCATGGAGGTGTGTCAGCACACGAACTGATACATGCTGCAGGAGATCACAGATTGTGGAGAGGGATGATCGCCCACGCCAGTCGGCAAGGCACCTGATGATGATGATGATGATGATGATGAAAGATTTGAATTATGTAAAATCATGTAAGTGCTTATGAGAAAATATTTCTTGCTAAAGCTTCCAAATAACGCCTTATTTCTTTGCAAGTGAAAATTTTTCATGTTTACGCTAAATTTTTTTTTTTTAAACATACCAAAGGTTAATATAATATCGAGGTTCAAGTCAAAAGTATCGACTTCATTGCACCGGGTTTTATCCCATGTGCAATATGGGAAAGCGAGAGGATGCCACATAATTTCCTGGGAGACAGGTTGGGTGGAGGGAAGGTCGAGGGGGAGGGGGTCCCTCGAAAGGGAAATAAAGGGAGGAGAAACAGCCTTGCTTAAGTTTCCGATAATAATTTTTTTTTTAACTGACCAAAACATCAGGTGTGATGCTAAAAGTACAGTTTTGCTCGGCAACTGTAAAATAGTACCAAATGTGTACGAAAGTACCAACTTCGGCAGCCCTGCTCGCACCTCATACATAATGGGGGAAAAGAACATGTGTGCTGCATTTCATCGGCGACCGGGTCGCCCATTGGCTGGCCGGTAGACGACTTAGTCGCCGGTCCTGACAGTTGTTGGTCTGTCACCTTTGATCACATCAACAATGGAAAAGTTATTTTCAGAGCTATTTTGTGGTAAGCAATGCTAAGTCAGATTTATCTGGTGCACATAACCTAGTCACAATTATAACCAAAAAGCTCCAGGAATGCTGGCTAAACGTGACGCAAAGTAGGTCAAGCCAAAAGAAGACGGTGTGCTGTCGCTTAAAGGAAAGGTTGACTACGATGCACAACTGTTGTCTTTGGGAATATTACCTGACGAGGCCTCAATCTATTGTACAGTGCGACTATCGTACTACTGTCCGTAAACTATGACAGCAATTTTTGTTTGTCAACATACAAAAATAAACTATCCGCTGCATCAATCGAACCCTGGTATTTAAGGATCCTGAAATTGTTAAACGCATTCACTAACCCAAAGCCACAGAGGCACAAAAGGCATACATAACTGGGTAGTAAATCACAGAATTAGCTAAACTTAACCCAAACTATGATTAGATAGCTCAAAAGAGAGAAAGGCGCTTAAAAATACAACCTGAAATTTTGTCCAATCTCTTCCCTGTTTCGGTTCCGGGACCGCATTTCTTTTATTATTACTGCATACTTAAGCAAGGCAACCCCCCCCCCTCTTTTTTTTGAGGCCCCGCCTCCCACCCCACCCCACAACCGGCAATACGGGAAATTATAAGTCGCATCTTCTCACGTTTCCATGATGTTTTCTTTATAAATCGGAGTCACAGATGACAGTGTACTAATATATGTTGGCTGTGGGGGCCCTATTGAAAATAAGTTGTAGGTTATATCACCTCTGCCTTGTGGGAGAGCGTGTACAGTACGGAGGAGCAGATGAGGTTGATGCAGCGGGGAGTGACGAGAGGTTCTGGCAGATGCTGGAGGTTCAGAGGAAAGGCAAGACGGACGTTTAATCAGAATGCTACTGGCACCATTAGTATCGGAACTCTTCGCTATCTGCTGAAGATGGGGGACGGAGCGCTTTTGGGAATGCCCCGAGTGCTGTGATGTCGGTTCTTGAATCAAATCAACTTCTGCGATATGAGGTAACTATGGCTTAAGGTCACAGACCTAGTATGTACTCAACGAGGTTACACGTAGGACCGTAGCGATGGCACTATTCCTCTTGTGTTGTTTGAAACGTTCTTGATCTTGGGAACTTCCAGAGCTTTTCTTTTACCTGTGGTAAAGAAAATTATAAACTCACGTCCAGTGGCTAGTGACAGTAGCTGACATAACCACCGAAGGACAGACAAATAACAGACAGACAGACACACAGACAGGGAGACTCTACAAAGACCGGCGAACAAAACAAAAAGTACACAGAAAGGGGAGCTCCGTCTCGAAGTCGTCAAGGCGTTCGCCTTGCCCTCTGAAGGATGTGGGTTCGATTCACTGACAGCGTCGTTTGGTTCATTGGTGTCCTTTTTACAATCCCTGGTGGATCGTCGCTAAAGATACGGAGCGGTTAGCCTTTCTGTGGAGAGAAACCGAATCATATGGGAGCGAATCCAGTGCAAAGCACAGGAGTAGCCATTGGGAAAGCAATAAAGAGACAGACCGACAATTTTTTGCGGAAACAGAAACAATTATCACAGCATACCCATCAGAGATAACCAAGTCAGACTGCTCACCACAGAACAAAAACAAGTCATGCAGTGGACTAAACACTTCTCCGACCTCTTGAACAGACATGATCCTGAAAATCCCCCAGATATTCAACCAGCCTCTCAGGACATTGACATTATTGCTGAACCACCAAGCAAACAAGGAATTCTCAAGCTCTCCACACTTTAAAGAACAACAAAGCACCAGGCAAAGACGAACTGCTAGCAGAACTTCTCAAAGTAGATCCCAACACAACTGCTAGCATTCTAGAACCATTGTTCAAGGATATTTGGGAAAAAGAAGTGTTGCCTGATGACTGGACTGAAGGAACAATAGTCAAAATCCCCAAAAAAGGAGACTTAACAGACTGCAATAATTGGAGGGGAATTACTCTACTCTCAGTACCAAGCAAAATGTTTTGTAAAATCACCATATTGCGGCTTAAAAAAGGAGTAGATAAATGCCTACGAGTGGAACAAGCAGGATTCAGAAAGGGCAGAGGAACAACTGAGCACATCTTCGCCATACGTAACATTTTAGAACAATGCAATGAATGGCAGAGAAGTATATATATTTATTTTGTGGACTTTCAGAAAGCTTTTGACAGCGTCCATAGAGACGGTCTGTAGAAAATTTTACGACATTATGGAATTCCAGAAAAAATAGTCAACATAATTGCTCTCTTCTATAAAGACTTTTCCTGCAGTATAAAAAACTACAATACATCTTTCCCAGTAAAGACAAGTGTAAGACAGGGATGTGTTATGTCATCTCTCCTCTTCAACCTTGTGATTGATTGGATACTAAAGAACACAGTAGACAGGACATTAAGAGGCATACGATGGACTCCATTCACCATGCCTGGGGACCTTGATTTTGCAGATGATATAGCACTCCTATCACATAAACATGAACATATACAAAAGAAAAGTAACAGACTACACTGCACAGCAAAAATGGTGGGACTGAGAATAAATACAAAGAAAACTAAGATCATGACAAACAGACCAAACCAACAACCAGTCACCATAAGTAACCAATCACTTGAAAATATAGAACATTTCACATATCTTGGCAGTGTGGTGTCCCTACTGGAAGGGACAGAGGAAGACAGTCACGCCTGAACAAAGCTACAGCTGCTTTTGGAAGGATGAGGCAAATCTGGAAATCCAACAATTACTGCAGAGGAACAAAACTCCGACTCTACAAGAGCATCATTTTGCCAGTTCTTCTTTATGGAGCGGAATGCTGGAGAATGACCAAAAAGGATGCACACAAGCTGTCACACTTCCGCCACACATGTCTACGTAGAATTATGAAAATTTTCTGGCCAGATACAATCTCAAACACTAAACTACTTCAAGCCACAAACCAAGAAACTTTTGACAGCATGATTACCAAGAGAAAGTGGAAATGGCTTGGTCACGTTATAAGAATGACTTCTGATATACCTGCCAAAACAGCTCTCACATGGACACCAGAGGGAAAGAGAAAACAGGGGCGCCCAAAAACAACATGGAGACGAACGATTATAAGGGGCCTGAGTGCGGCATCTTTGACATGGAAAACTGCACTGAAGATTGCACAGGACAGGAAAGCATGAAAGTCCTCTCTGAAGCCTCATGTGCCACTAGGCATAACATGAACTGATTGATGACTAATGACCGACAGAAAGAGAGACAAAGAGAGAGATAGAGAGAGAGAGAGAGAGAGAGAGAGAGAGAGAGAGAAAGAAAGAAAGAAAGAAAGGAAAGAAAGAAGAGAAAGAAAGAAAGAAGAAAGAAAGAAAGAAAGAAAGAAGAAAGAAAGAAGAGCGAGAGAGAGAGAGAGAAGAGAGAAAGAAAGAAAGAAGAAAGAAAGAAAGAAAGAAAGAAAGAAAGAAAGAAAGAAAGAAAGAAAGAAAGAAAGAAAGAAGAAAGAAAGAAGAAGGAAAGAAAGAAAGAAGGAAAGAAGAAAGAAAGAAAAGAAAGAAGAAAGAAAAAGAAAGAAAGAAAGAAAGAAAAAGAAAGAAAGAAAGAAAGAAAGAAAGAAAGAAAGAAGAAAGAAAGAAGAGAAAGAAAGACTGAAAGAAAAGAACGAAAGGAAAGAAAGCAAGAAAGAAGTAAGAAAGAAAAGAACGAAAGAAGAAGAAAGAAAGAACGACAGAAAGAAGAAAGAAAGCACGAAGAGAAAAGAAAGAACGGAAAGAAAGAAAAGAAAGAAGAAAGAAAGAAAAGAAAGAAGAACAGAAAAGAAAGACGAAAGAAAGAACTAAAGAAAAGAAAGGAAAGAAAGAAAGAAAGAAAGAAAAGACCCGAAAGATCGCCTCCCTAGAAAGAAAGAAGAAAGAAAGAAGAAAAGAAGAAAGAAAGAAAGAGAGAAATCCTCCCTCCCTACAGCCTCCCTCCCGCCCTCCCTCCATCTATAGAAAGAAGAAAGGAAAGAAAGAAAGAAAAGTCCCTTCCCTCCCTAAATCCAGAAAGAAAGAAAGAAAGAAGAAAGAAAAGAAAGAAAGAAAGAAAGAAAGAAGACTGCAAGAAGAAAGAAAAAAAAGAAAAAGAAAGGAAAGAAAGAAGAAAGAAAGAAAGAAAGAAAGAAAGAAGCCCGAAAGAAAGCCCGAAAGAAAGAAAGAAGAAAGAAAGAAAGAAAAGATCAAAAAAGCACTCCATCCCGAACTCAAAGCCCGCCAGAAAGAAGAAAGAAAGAAAAGAAGAAAGGATAGGAAAGGAAAGAAAGAAAGAAAGAAAGAACGCTCAGAAAGAAAGACCGAAAGCCCCCCTCACTCCCGCCACGCCCGCCTCCCTCCCTCAGAAGAAAGGGGCCCCGAAAAAAAAAAAGAAAGAAAGAAAGGAAAAGGAAAGAAACCTCCAGCCCTCCCCGTCGAAAAAATGCCCGAAAGCACCTAAAAGAAAAAAAAATCCAGAAAGGCCTTCACGAAAAAAAAGAAAAAAAAAGGAAGAAGCCCTGAAATCCGGAAATCCAGAAAGAAGACAGAATGCCCGAAAGAAGAAGAAAGAAAGAAGAAAAGAAAGAGAAAGAAAGAAGTCCTCCCTGAAAGCCCTCCCTCCCGAAGAAAGAAAGAAGAAAGAAAGAAAAGAAAGAAAGAAAAGAAAGAAAAGAAAGAAAGAACGAAAGAAACAAGAAAAAAGAAAAGAAAGAAAGAGAAAGAAAGAGAAGAAAGAAAGAAAGAAAGAAAGAAAGAAAGAAGAAAGAAAGAAAGAAAAGAAAGAAAAAAGAAAGGGAGAAAGAAGAAAGAAAAAGACCAAGAAAGAAAGAAAGAAAGAAAGAAAGAAAGAAGATAGAAAGAAAGAAAGAACCCATCCCCCAAAGAAAGAAAAGAAAGACAAGAAAGAAAGAAAGAAAGAAGATAAAACGACCCTCCAGAAAGAAGAAAAGAAAGAAAGAAAAGAAACTAAAGAAAGAATACCGGAAAAGAAAGAAAGAAAGACCCGAAAGAATACAGAAAGAAAGAAGAGAAATAATAGGAAAAAAGAAAGATTGGGTGTTTGAAAAAGACAACGAAGAGTAAGTTAAAAGAAAAACCTCAGGGGAAGGCTAACTCGACCAACAAACGCCTGCAGAAGCCGGATGTGTCGGCTGAAAGGTGCAAACAATGCAGCAATGCCGTTAACGGGCACAACGAATTACATCTTTGGATGAACGCAAAAAGAGAATAAGAAGAAGAAAAGAAAAACCCAAAACATTATCCTTATTACCGTACAACATCCAGTGTATCTATCATTCAACAACAAAAATCAAGTCTCACTATGTTAGACACAAGTCTACGCCAAACAACGACCTAACAATGTTCGGTAAATTATCGGGTAATTCCATTTGACCAAAGTACGTCCAGCCCCGGAGTGGTATTGTTAGGAATAACTACTTTCTGCGAGACTTGTTTTTCCTAGCGCATACCGGCTTTAGCTTAAGCAGAAAGTTCTGGCTGTTCGTCTTCTTCTAGACTTCAGTCTTGTTCCAAAACATGAATTTTGTGTGCACATCTGTTTTACAGTTCTGACTTACATTATGCAGACTGTTAGTTCATCACCAGTGAGGCTGATGCACTCCGACTTGGGAGGAAACAGTCCTAATTAGTCGCCCTTTTACGATAGGCTTGTTAGGGAGGCAGTAGGTCTGTTCTTTTCTTTTCTCTAATACAAGAGGGCGACATATCTCACACCGTGAACTTCTGTGAGACATCTCTTTTTAATTTGTAAAGTAAAGCAAAGGGCTTCTAAACATATTTTGAAGAACAATCAATAAAATGATTATGCAATGTTCTGGTATGAATACATATGTCGTCCATATATGCAGTGACATATGTCTGACGCTAGCACTTCACAAACTCACAAAACAGCAATAGTATCTACACGGTGACAGTTGACTCTCATTCCTCCATCCCGTGTAGTCACGGATTGATTAGTCAGGTTTCTTCCAGGCTGGTAAATTGACACAATCACGCGCTCCTCTTAGGATTCATTCAATTCAGTCACTTCAACCTCCAACACGACCAGATCGAAACAAGACTAGACTATCCTAGTTTCTCATGGATCAAATAGTCTGTTCCTTTCCTTCTAGACTACTCGCGCGCATTTGTTGCACTGTCCGATTCTCATGACTTTTAGCCACCTACGCAACATTCAAGCTTGCCTCCTAATTTCACGTTTACCTCCACTTGACCCTAATCTGTTCACTCATACATTATTTTTAAGAATAACCATTCAAAATAGTTTATGAAAATGAGATGCGAAAAAGAAAATGACTTCTTACAGGGACCCATTTCACAAACATGGCGTATCAGGCATGTGATGCTAGGCTCATATGTTTGTGTGGATCAATCGGCACTCGATGGCTGATGTGTACGCCGGCCTCTTTTACTTCTCATAATTCTATCTGGTTCCCAATTTAAGCTGGTGGCGACCTGGGAGCCAAGGTCATTTATTTGTAAGAGATTATTTGAATTGGGCTGAGTCAAGAATTGACATCACAGCACTCGGGACATTCCCATAAGTGCTCCGTCCCTATCCTCATCAGCCCGCACAGAGTTTCAAAACTAATGGTGTCCGTGGTAGTCTGGTTGTATGTCCGCCTTGCCTTTCCTCTGATAGTAGTGTGTCGGCCAAACCAACTGGTCACACCCAGGTGCATCATTCTCTTCAGCCCAAAATAATCTAGTTTCTCTTCTTCCAAACGGGCTTTGACCACTTCTCCCTTTTTTTGTAAGAATAAGCGTCTAGCCGCTATGCCACTGCGCCTCCCTGTTCAGCTGGTGTCTACTGTGAAATTATCTTCATCATATATGTATTTTATTAGTTCCCCCTATTTCCATCACTACTTCTTTATTGTGCTTCTCTACTATTGCATTACTTCCCCACTGCATCGTTATTCCATTGTCGCACCCCCTATCACAACACAACTGCATGGTTGAACTACTTTTCTCTTGATCCACTCTTCCACTGCACCACTCTTTCACTACAACACTCTTCCACTGCCGCATCACTTTTTTTTTTCAATGCATAACTCTATCTCTGCACTATTGCTTCATTGCACCATACCTAGACTGCACTATTTTTCCATTTCACCATTTCTCAGTGTTCGCAAATTGGACAGTAACACATCGTTCTGCCATCCTTTTTAGGATGACATTTTTCGTTATTTGAAGCGCCTACTCTGGCTCTTGCCAGGGGCCGCAATATAGCCAGACCATAAATATGGCCAACTGGCTGAAAGTGGTTTCTGGGACCTCTCCAGGTTATCCTCACCCACATGGTGGCACAAGGTGTCATCGGGTGTTAATCGCTTGTGTGATGTCCTGGTGGGGTATAAAGTCAATCGATCAATTGCACCACTCTTTCCTTGCGCCAATCTCCCGCTTCACAACTCTTCCACTGAACAATTCTCTACATTCTGTAGCAAGTATTATACAAATGTAAAATGTCAGCCTTTTCTTCTCGAGTGTGAATTTATTCTTAATCTGCAAGCATACCTTCAACAAGGCGATCACATTTGCAAATATTCTCTCTTTGGGGACATACGATCATAAACCATCGACATACCTGGTGAGCTAGGTACGGCTCTGGTTGCTTCATGCGAGGTCTTTCTATGGAACCTTTCTCATACGGAAACCCCCACTCCATGAGGTCTCCACTAAGGAAGTTCTGCCAGCTCCTGTTGATGTCATTTCCGCCAGGGATGTCGATGTAGAGCAGGTTGCCCACCAGAGTCTCGTAGCTAGGGGCAACAACATGTTTCACAGTTAGTTGCGTGTCCCTTACAGTCAGTCAGTCAATCAGTCAGTCAGTCAGTCAGTTAGTCCACCAGTCTCGTAGCTACGAGCAACGGTATGTTTCACAGTTATTTGCGTGTCCGTTACAGTCAGTCAGTCAGTTAATCCACCAGAGTCTCGTAGCTAAGAGCTACGAAATGTTTCCCAGTTAGTTGTGTGTTCCTTACAGTCATCCAGTCAATCAGTCAGTCAGTCAGTCAGTCAGTCAGTTAGTCCACCAGTCTCGTAGCTACGAGCAACGAAATGTTTCCCAGCTAGTTGCGTGTCCCTTACAGTCAGTCAGTCAGTCAGTCAGTCAGTCAGTCAGTCAGTTAGTCCACCAGAGTCTCGTAGCTACGAGCAACGAAATGTTTCCCAGTTAGTTGCGTGTCCCTTACAGTCAGAGTCAGTCAGTCAGTTAGTCCAAAAGACTCTCGTAGCTACGAGCAACGAAATATTTCCCAGTTAGTTGCGTGTCCCTTACAGTCAGAGTCAGTCAGTCAGTTAGTTAGTCAGTCAGTCAATCAGTCAGTCAGTTAGTTAATTAGTTAGCTAGTTAGATAGTTAGTTAGATAGTTAGTTAGTCAGTTAGCTAGCTATCTAGTTAGCTAATCGATAGATTCTCCTCACTACAAGTCGATAAGCTAGGTCCCTTACAGGACATTTCTGAACCAGCACCAGCTTCCTGTTTATGGTTTTACTAACAGTTTTACAATCAGCAGCTTGTCGCTGTCCACTCCAATGTCGAAAATATACGCAAGGCGGTCTGCAACCAAATCCCTTGCAGCTGAAATCGAATCGGGTACACCGTAATTACGAAGCACCTTGGCCAAGACTAATCCACAGGCGCCGATAAGAAATATCACAAGCTGGGTAAATAATTCATTATAAGTAATCAAAAAGTAAAGGTCTTTTTTATAACGCCAATAGGCGTATGGGGCATAAGAGGCTATACCTACATTTTATATAGACAAATTGGCACAATATGGGTAATCTTGTAATCTGGTAATAATATGGTAATCTTAGTTTCAGTGTCATAGCAAACGGGTGACCCCATAGTTGAGCCGCTCCTGTGCCAACGAAACACACACATATTGTTTATCACAGTCTCTTGTGAAAAGATTGACAGACTGCTGTCTCAGCATATCTAGCAGACACGCGCATTAAAAGAAAACGGTAGCCATCCGAAGTGCTAACACAAACAGTCCGACATTAGAAATGCAGTTCACCATGGATGGTAGCAGAAGTCACCAACAGATCAGCAGTTACACACGCGATCAATTTTAATTACATACGGGCACCACCAAAATTGCGACGACAGTCATTGCGCCTTTTTCTGAATCTACAATTCACACCACCACGTTGGTCACATTAGAAAACATTCAAAATGAAATATGCAGCTCACAGTGTCACGCCATGCACTCAAATGGGAAGCTGGGAACCGAAACTATATCCGCTCAGTCTACAAATGGGGCAAAAATGTAACGGCCACCGTCTGGCAGAAGTAAAAAAATGTGCCACGGCTGAGAACAGTAGCCGTGCCTAGCGTCCATCTTGACCGGAAGTCAAAAATCTGGCGGTGGGTGATGTTGTCAGCATCACGCCGGCCTCCTTTACGTCACAACACTGCACCCGGTACCCAATCAGGGCTGGGTCAACCTGGGAGTCGAGGTCATTTTTGAAAAAAAAAAGTCCGGCTCTGACAGGGAGCGAACCCACGACCTTTCGATCCACACAAGAGCGTCTATCCGCTACACCACGGCGACTCCCAATATTTCATTATGCTGATTGGAAAAAACCAAAACAACGAATCTTAAATTTTAACGTAATTTCAATTCTAACGTTATTTCAGTTTTAACGTTATTTCAATTCTAACGTTATTTCAGTTCTAACGTTATTTCAATTCTAACGTTATTTCAATTCTAACGTTATTTCAATTCTAACGTTATTTCAATTCTAACGTTATTTCAACTCTAACGTTATTTTAATTCTAACGTTATTTGAATTCTAACATACGCCAGTGAACGTTCGAGAACCACCAAAGATACGGAACGGAAGTTTAACGCATTTGAAAATAAATCTCTGCGAAAAATCATGAACACGAAATAGGATGAATTCTAAAAGAATGAGGAGATCAGAGAAATGATTGGACAACTACCAGTATCGATTGCAATAAGACAAAAAAGGCTGAGATATGTTATGCACAGTCTGAGACGAATCCAGGAGCAAAGAATTACTAAACAGGCACTGTATTGGGAAACAGACAGTCGTGGGTTCGCTCCCTGGCGGAGCCGGACTTTTTTCAAAAAATGACCTTGTCTCCCAGGTCGACCCAGCCTTGAGTGGGTACAGGTTGCAGTCTTGGGAAAGTAAAGGCGGCCGGCGTGATGCTAACCATATCACCCATTTTGTGCCGATTGGTCTATAAAAATATAGGTCTAGCCCTATATGCCCTATACGCCTGATGGCGTGGAAAAGGGTCCTTTACTTTACTTGTTTTTTATTATTATTACGAGAGGCCAGAAAATGCTGAGCTATCCCATGTCAGAAATCAAGAAAGCTACACCCAACACAGCTGAGTGGAGGATTCGAATGAGGGGTCCGTGTGACGACACACAAAGCATAATGGAATTGATTAAAGAAGAGCGGAGACAGATGATCAAATATCAATCTAGTCATCTCCTTGTGGAATGCAATTTTTCGTTATTTGAAGCCCTAATCTGGCTCCTGTCGGGGGTAGCAATATAGCTCGGCCATAAATATGGTCTAATGGCTGAACGCGGTTTCTGGGATCTTTCCACGGGTGATCCTCGTCCACATGGTGGCACTTTGTGTCATCGGGTGTTTATCGCTTGCGTAATGTCCTGGTGGGGTCAAAGAAGATAGATAGACGGTAAAATGGTCGTTGTGGTGTGCTTTTTTGTCCTTCCGTCTGTCTTTTTCGATGTTGCCTTTTTTCTACACCTTTTTCCCATTTCATACTTTGTCTCATGCGTCGTTCTTTGTCTACTTTTCATGTTAACCTCCTCCTCTTTTGTCTCAGTCTTGTTTCCCTTGTTCTTGTTGGTGTTGTTGTTGTTCTTCTCCTCCTCTTCCGCCTCATACTTCTTCTTTTTCTTCTTCTTCTTCTTTTCTTATTTCTCTCTCTTTCACCCCTCTTTTTAAGCGCACCCCGCCCCCTCCAAACCACCTGCCCACTTCTTCCTCTTTCTTCTGCTAATTATTTCGCTTATTGTGAATTTTTTAAAACAAATATCTCCCCCAATATAACATGTACGAGTCATGGAGATGGACTGGATCGAGCAGACATATACTGGCAACACATTCGTCCTAATCAGATACCTAAGTGACATCTTCACTGGACTTAGCTGCAGGACACTCATTCTCCTCCGTATGTTGCTTGCTACAAGAAAGACAGTCCACGACTCACATCCGTATGTTGCTTGCTACAGGAAAGATAGTCCACGACTCACATCCGTAAGTTGCTTGCTACAGGAAAGATAGTCCACGACTCACATCCGTAAGTTGCTTGCTACAGGAAAGATAGTCCACGACTCACATCCGTAAGTTGCTTGCTACAGGGAAGATAGTCCACGACTAACATCTGTATGTTGCTTGCTACAGGAAAGATAGTCCACGACTCACATCCGTATGTTGCTTGCTACAGGGAAGATAGTCCACGACTCACATCCGTATGTTGCTTGCTACAGGGAAGATAGTCCACGACTCACATCCGTATGTTGCTTGCTACAGGGAAGATAGTCCACGACTCGCATCCGTATGTTGCTTGCTACAGGGAAGATAGACCACGACTCACATCCTTATGTTGCTTGCTACAGGGAAGATAGTCCACGACGCACATCCGTATGTTGCTTGCTACAGGGAAGATAGTCCACGACGCACATCCGTATGTTGCTTGCTACAGGGAAGATAGTCCACGACGCACATCCGTATGTTGCTTGCTACAGGGAAGATAGTCCACGACGCACATCCGTATGTTGCTTGCTACAGGGAAGATAGTCCACGACTAACATCCGTATGTTGCTTGCTACAGGGAAGATAGTCCACGACGCACATCCGTATGTTGCTTGCTACAGGGAAGATAGTCCACGACTCACATCCGTATGTTGCTTGCTACAGGGAAGATAGTCCACGACTCACATCCGTATGTTGCTTGCTACAGGGAAGATAGTCCACGACTCACATCCGTAAGTTGCTTGCTACAGGGAAGATAGTCCACGACTCACATCCGTAAGTTGCTTGCTACAGGGAAGATAGTCCACGACTCACATCCGTATGTTGCTTGCTACAGGGAAGATAGTCCACGACTCACATCCGTATGTTGCTTGCTACAGGGAAGATAGTCCACGACGCACATCCGTATGTTGCTTGCTACAGGGAAGATAGTCCACGACGCACATCCGTATGTTGCTTGCTACAGCGAAGATAGTCCACGACTCACATCTGTATGTTGCTTGCTACAGGGAAGATAGTCCACGACTTACATCCGTATGTTGCTTGCTACAGGGAAGATAGTCCACGACTCACATCCGTATGTTGCTTGCTACAGGGAAGATAGTCCACGACTCACATCTGTATGTTGCTTGCTACAGGGAAGATAGTCCACGACTCACATCCGTAAGTTGCTTGCTACAGGGAAGATAGTCCACGACTCACATCCGTATGTTGCTTGCTACAGGGAAGATAGTCCACGACTCACATCCGTATGTTGCTTGCTACAGGGAAGATAGTCCACGACTCACATCCGTATGTTGCTTGCTACAGGGAAGATAGTCCACGACTCACATCCGTATGTTGCTTGCTACAGGGAAGATAGTCCACGACTCACATCCGTATGTTGCTTGCTACAGGGAAGATAGTCCACGACGCACATCCGTATGTTGCTTGCTACAGGGAAGATAGTCCACGACGCACATCCGTATGTTGCTTGCTACAGCGAAGATAG